ACTTGGTTATCCAGATATTAACAGGTACACAGACATACAATCAAAGGAAATACTGAAATGGTTAATGGCTGGTTTGATTTCTAAAGATTTCTTTTTTTAAAGTAATTTTGCATTAGGGAAAGGTATATTATGCACAAGTTTTTATTATTTCCCTGTATACATGAGACTACAAACTCAGAGACTAAATAAAAATATGGAAAAAGTAACTCAGGAGTAAAATACAACAGCAGATGGACATCAGTCTCCAAGGGAAGGAGCAGAGGCAGAAGTAGGATGTATTTTCCAGTTTTGGTGGCAAAACACAACTCACTTAAGGCAGTAACAAATACACAAATACTTAGGGCAGGAGAATATTTAGATTAGACTGGAAAGTTCAGAAAATTCAACTATGTCAGTATTCTGTTCCCTGCCTTCCTGAAGGAGAGGGGACAATGCAATGCAGTCCCTTTACAGAATCCATAACCCATGCTGGCTGGCTGGCTGGCTGCTGGGGAGGAACAGGAGCACAGCAGGAAGGTGCAGTTAGAGCACCCTCCTCCCTGCCTTCCACTTCTTCCCAATCAAACACAGAGGCTCTGCAGAAGGCAGTGCCCAGGTTTTGAGAGGTTAAGGGAGGCATGCTGTCCAAGGTAATGCACAGCAAGCTACAAAATAAATATCCTAAAATATGTATCAGTATGGATTTTAATATTGCATGATGGTACAGGTGATAAAAGTCAGTGCCTTATATGTCCCACAGCACTGTTGTAAACACAGTGCTGGTGATCACCAAAGAAAGGTAATTTTTGTCTGTAGCTGTGCAAACCAAACTGCAGCAGATCAACAGTAGCAGTACACAAGTTTGTTGTCTGAGACATCAGAAGCATCACACAAAATGTAAGGACCACTACACTGGAAAGAATGCTCATTAAATGGGGAATGATTTTAGAACCAGTCCAAAGCCTGTTTACATCAGCTTCAATCACAGTGTGAAAGGCAAAGAACAAACAGAATAGCAGTTCTCAGATATGAAACCTATAACATCAGCAGAAAGCAAACAGAAAAGGCATTGCAGAAATCATGTCAGCTAGTAGGAATTTCTACTTTGTGGAGAATAAAATTAAGTACAAACTCTTTTAATCCAAAGGCTGATAAAGATTGACAAAGTGGTGCTGAGTCGTACATCTCTTGGTGACAGAAATAAGATTTGCCCTGTAATGGTTTGATTCTGCTTTGAGAGACATTTTAATAAAAGTTAATCAGCAGTGCTCATGCTGCAAAGTGCTTGTGTGAGGCCTGCACAATACTTTACACTTCCTATTTTGCTGGCAGCCATTATTAGATGTGTACCCCTTAACATGAACTTGCAATCTGTCCCAGTGCTAGCCAACTGCATCTATCCCTCTTATGGTCCATTTTAGCTACCTGACCAACATGAAAGAAATTCTTCCTTGATCTCTCAATAAAAGAAACCCTGCAAGCACAGAAAGGTGAATGAGGTTAAACTGGCATTGATTATTAAAGACAAATTAATAATTTATTAGTTAGCAGACTCAACATCAATCTGTTGCACACATGGCTCTCTCCGCAAGACACCCAACATGTTTTAAATGATTCTAAGTAAACATATTGGAAAACAGAATAAATTTAGGTCTAACATAAGATGAGGATTCCTTGACACACTGCACTAGAAAGCAACTAGCCTTTATGGAAACCCTGAGAGCCTTCCAATGTCTTCCCCGGTACACATACAATAGTCATCTTGATATTTTACTTTCAATTTCCTCAAGTAGCAAAGTTGCCATGTTATTCACTTCAGGACACTGTAGCATTTCTCATCATGGAAGACCCTCTTTTGTCCTTATCAGAAATTACTTTAAACTTTATGTTTTAATTCCGTAATTAAGTTTCACATTAGACTGTTTTAATACAGAAAAGACATTAAGCAGTTTGCTTTCCAGTTCAAACAGTTCTTTATGAGGAACATTATCTTTACTGCTACAGACTTTATCTTCTACTTGCTTACTAAAAAGGTACTCTAAAGCAATTTCTGCTGAAAAAATCTCTCTTGTGCTGTACGGGGAAAAAAATCAGAGCTCTATCAGAAATATTATCCAAGAATTCAAAGCTATTCCAGGACATTGCATCATCCAAACTCTACTGATCACCTTGACAGTCAAATTCTGACTGTAATTATGTTATAGCCCGTAAAATAAAATAGATTTTAATAACTTCCATTCTGGTAACTGCTCACACACCCAAAACACTCATTCAATACTGTTTATACTTTTTCAGAGCAGTCCACAAGAACAAGAACATTTCCTCTTTGTGAAACACTGCATTTCCTCCTTCTTCACCCATTCCTTACTAAATATAGACTCGCCTCCAGCTTTTTTTCATTACTGTACACCCTACGGACAAAAGGATTAATTCCTCATCTAAGTCAAAGTCAGAACTTCCATTTACTTTTAATGACACATCTAAATGAACTCCAAGGCTAAAGAACTGTCTCAACTGCTGGAAGATGTCCAGAAGCAAAAAAAAACCCAACAAAAACTGAAGCAGTGGTTTATTCTGGGACTAACCCTTCTCAGTTTTTTCAACTGCAAAACAGGTAACTTAAGATTACACAGTGGAACAAAAGAATATATGAGAATATAAACCAAACCACTCATAGAGGCATTGTTTTAAGCATTTCTGAATTATTACACTGTGTAGTGTATATCAATATTTGTACTACATTCATTAAACAATGCCACACAAATTCCTGGTAGCACTTTTTATCCAACTACTATTAGCTTCTAAATTTGAATTAGGGAAAAATAAAAATGTGAGGACATCTGTTGTTGTTTGATTTTTTAAATTAAAGCAGCACATTTGTAATGATGAAATGAAGTTAAATTTTCTGCTTACCTCTTAAACCAGATCTGAAGTATTCAGTGTATACTATTCTCAGAATGTATAACTAATGGGGTGAAAAATACATATTGTATTCTCTGATTTGTTTTGTATTTTTCTATTTAATCGAATTTCATATTAGCAAAATATTCTTGTAGTTGTACACATTTACTGACATCTGAATAAAATGATGTACAGATACTACTTGCAACAGTTACTTGTTCTTTAAAATCTCATGCAAAAGCAAAGAATGTAAATGTAATTGCCACTTGAATTCAACAGAAACACAGCTGAACTTATCGTTAATAGCTTTTCTTCACAGAAAAGCTGCACAATCTGATAAATAAAAGAGCAAGAAGTTTAAACAGTATTACAATAAGTGTTAACACTATTTATTTGCACATTCCTCCTCACTGAGTCCCCCTAATTGTGATCATAGCAGGTTTGTGTTACTCCTGTAAATTCATTCAAATTTCTCTACTATCAATCCCTTGCAATGGAAATTTCACAAGAACTCTGTACCACATAAATACAGGTGAAGTGTTGTTACATAGAAAAATATTCAACATTTCCTTTTATTCCTGCACTGCAACAGACTATGAGATAATGTACGAGATAATATATTATTGAAACTGTGATAAGGTAGGAATTTTACCAGGGAAGGCTGAAAAATATGTTCCCCTAATTGAAGAGAATGATGCTAAAGGAAAGGATTTATTTGACTTCTTGTTGTTATTATGACATTTAACACTCAAATCTCAGCCAGAAAATTGAACCTGTTTGGGAAATGAGGTTCTAATGTTATTTTTTACTCCCCACCAAACTCCAAGGGAACACAGACTGGAAAAAGGAAAAAATATGTAATCTGCTAACAGCATGAATCCCTGCAGCACAAGTACCACATATTTGATTTGGGAGAAAACAACCAAAAGCATAAATCACATCTGCTTAAAAAAAACACCAGGCAAACAACATAACCCAAAAATAAGCAAAACAACAACATAAATGCCCCAAACTTTACATGTTTCCTGTTCCCATTTTCAGTCAAATTTTATTTGACATCTAATGCACAAGAAAGTATTGTGAAGGATAACTGGTCACAGAAGTGGATATCATATTGCAATATAGAAAAATTTTTTTAAATATTTTTGAATATTCTGGATTTTTCAGCAGTCACATATACACACCTCAGAGCTTCAGTAAATTCCACCAGACATGACTTCACAGACACAGTAGAACATAAGAGTTCATGTTCGGTAACCCACAAAAAAGTTAGTGCAGATAAAACTTTTCGTACTAAAGTGTGAAATTTTGATGTTTCTATTCACAGAAGACAAAACTTTAATGCTCCAATGACACAGAACTAAAAAGAAGATTTCAAAGCCTGCTTTAATTCCAGAGGTCTTTGCATAAACTTGAATGAGCATGTTGATCTATACCAATGAATAACCATAGCACTACTTTGCAGAAGAGTTTCTAAAAATCATTGTTAGACTTTGCACAAGTCCCAGAATGGAACTGTCCTAAATGTTCGACAAAGATTATTCCAGAGGCTCATGTGAGAATCTCTTACATATATTCAGGCAACACCACTCACAGACAGAATATTTCCATTTAGAAGAACTGGGGAAATAATATTTCTGCAGTTAAGGATTCTTCATTGCCTGCATTCTTGCATGAGGACACAAATTATCAACACACATTCTAGGAGAAATTCTGGCAGATGCTCTTTAGGAAACCGAATTTTAACATCACTTGGCAAAACTGTACTTATTTCATTATCTTCCAATTTTCAAATCTTGTTTAGACAGCATATGACAATTCTAAACATAATAACCTCATTAACTGTCAGTAAGTGTGCAAATAAATACTGAAAAAAATGACAAAGCACTAATACATACCATCCACATTCATTTATGCAAATTCTCAGCTCTTCATAAAGCCTAAAATTAACAGGGCATTAGTGTGCTGGCAGGCAGTTGTAATTATCTTCTCATGTTTCTGAAGGTAATTTAGAATCACCAAATCCATGCATAGACAACAACAGCAGAGGCAAACCAGCTGACAGAAGTCTGAACACCCACAAACATGATAAAAAAATACTGTTTGATACAGCTACTTACATCATGGGCAATGAGTTCTGTCTGTGTGGACTTATCTGCTTGGGAAGCCAGAGCCTTCTGAAAGCACTGAGCCTTTTCCTGTAAAACAAAACAACATTGCATAGGTGAGTCATGGTTTTCCTCACTGGGCTTTGCAGCTCCCAACATCCAGATAAATTCAAAACTCATGCATGGACAGCTGGTAAGAAATAGATTTATTACGGTGCTATTCACACTGGGAGGTTGATTTCCTTCCTATTGTATGTTTTTATAAATTTATCTTTCTCTTAAACAGAGGGTGGACTCAGATAGTCCAACTCTGCGCTACAGTGGGGCCCACAAGAAGGATGGCACTGAGGCCGACAGGTACGAAGCTCCGAGCAGCTGCAGGGACTCCAGAAAATACCAGCACCACTCCAACAGCAAAGAAATAATTTACTTGAAAATATTAAGGAATATGAACACTTGCAGATCACAAGCCTGAGATGACTTCTGCCTTCCCCAACAGAAACATGTTAACCAAACCTAACCATTTCTTGGGTATTGCACTGATTTCTGCTTTTCCCATCCTTGTCCCTCTGTACCTGAATAATTTTTGGAAGTGTGGCATGGCATCTCTGAACAGGCTTGAGCAAAGATATCTGGCTGCTTTGACCCAAAAAAAGCCCAGATTCTGATACTTCCTTTGAAACTGATCACTAAGCTTGCTGACTCTCATCCAGCCCGCAAGCATACTATTTTGATTTCCAGGAGAAGGTATTTGATAAAACAACTCTAAATATGTGGGGTAAGGCAGGAAAAGGCACACAGGAGGGGAAGGAGAATGCAAAATTCTTTACTGCACTGATTTATGTTTTCCTGCTTACTGATTCAGTTTAATTTCTCAGTTGTATCTGTAAAAAATGCTTACCTTGAACTCAAACTCCTCAAGATGTACAAAATATAATTGAATGCTATTGACAGGAATGTATTGCAATAAAACAGAATTCGTTTAAATTGCATTTCAAGTTAATTGACTCTCAAGTTCTCATATTATTTGATTCAAGGCAAGGTATGCACATCACTACATTGCCTAAACAGCAGAAAGAAGTCAACTCCTCAGTGACCCTTATCTCCAGTATTTCAACCCTTTAAATAAGGGTTGGAGGAAAACAGAATTCAGACTGATCTCATCACTTGTACAAAACACTTGAGCCCAAATTTGCTGATGTTAACAACCAAGTTAAAACTGAATTCATGGAAAAGGAAATCCCAGTTCTCAAAGAAATGGTTTGTCTTCCTGAGGTTTGAATTTACTAGTCCACTCACTTCTACATATTTAAAAAACAGGCATTATGATATATCTGCTATCTTATTTTACCAAATTTTACTGTTGAGAAGCTCCATGAATTTTCAAGTTACAAACATAGATATTGCATGTTCAAGTAAGATTGCAACTGAAGCAATACCATCATTAAACTGTGTATCTGATCAAATGGAACATTTCTGTTCTTTCTGTATGGATTCACAAATATATATTTTGAAAAAGCAGAGAGAAAAAAAGAAAAACAGAATAAATCCAAATATTTATTAAGGCAGCAAATTAACTAGAAAGCTAGAAAGGTTGGAATAACAAATATTCTTTCCTTTCCTAGAGCTGCTCCTTTAACTATGTATATGCAGTGAGATCCATTTTTAACATATCCAAGTTCTGACACCACATTAACATGGTAACATTTTTTATTTATATTTAGTGAGCTAACTAATAAAATGGGAAAAAGTAAAAATTTCTACAAGTCCAGGTAGTGGAAAAGAAAGTTTGAAACTGAAACTCTCTTCTTTCTTCTCAAGTATAGCAAAATAGAAGATTAAAGATCTTTGCAAGCCAGGTAGCACACTTTCACATGGATTCAGAACAAAGAAGAGAGTTACCTGGACATCTACTCACACAACAGCCTTCTACCACCCTCACAGCATTACTTCTAAGGATGATTAATATTATCAGGTAGCATTTTAAAGTAATTTTTAAAGTTTTCTCCTTAAAAGGATAAGGAAAGCAAAAGGAAAGGGTAAACAAAATAGGTACCTTTGCCTTTCTAAGGACTAAGAAAGGACCAAGTAATTTATTTAAAAAATATTTTTAGGATCACTCAAAGTACTTCTGGGTGACTTTTTTTTAAGGTGAGAGCATCTTTTCTTACCATTCTGTGTGTTGTTATTGCTTCTTATTAAAAGAAGCAGCACAAAAGTACATTTGTAGGTGACATGGAAAAGTGCATGAAAAACTTCTATTTCCTGGGTCAATCCTAATTAGTGAAAAGGCAGGAAGAGCTGATGGCTATTTTAACAGCAACATTGCCAGGAACATTCTCTGCACTCCTCTCTCTGAAGTACCTATGTGTGTTTTGAGGGGAGAGAGAGAAAAACTACATGGAAGGACATTTTCTCAAACATTGCAGTTGCTTCGATTATTGAGATTACTGATTTTGGTATTTCAACAACCACAGTGAAAAGCATTAGACCATGATCAATAAAGATTACGTTTCTGCCTATTTCTTCACAGGGGAGTAAGTTCACACATAGTTTATATCTCAAACTAGCTCTGGTACTAGAGTGTCATGGTTTGAATACTTACTATTTTATTACTATGTTTGTAATAAGTCACCAGAAGGTGCTGAAATACGAAGACAACACATATCAGCTGATAACTGATGCAAGTAAAAATATTACAAATAAATCAGAAAAGTGAAATGTAAGATAAAAAAGTAAGGAATGTAAGACAAAGAAAACAGCTTAAGTCTTCCCCACTGAAAGGCAGATAGGAAAAAAGTAGTTATTTAGATTAGGGAGTCAGCAGGAGTTGATATTGATACATCTTGAAACATGACACTGGTTTTGTAAAATATTTCTTCTCTGAACAGGAGAGTATCAAAATAATTTTCACAGTTTTGACTGCAAACATGTCGAAGTTATTTTTTGCTACTGTTTTCTTATTCCATTCCCTACCAGTGACAGCATGGTGACCACTTGTGGTGCTTTGTTTAATTGCAAATTCCAAAGAGAAAATGCTTGACAATTATTTCAAATGGTCACATTAAATCAAGGAGCAAAACTTACTGCTCCAGCTACTTAAAAGGAAAACTCTACTGTCCAGTAGAGCTGTGGCTTTAATCCTCATAAATGATATTTTGTCTAGTAGACAGCATATTAAATATTTTTTCCTAATGGCTGTTTCACCTTTATTGTTACTTAGTTTAAAATATAAAATATAATAAATTAACTTTTTAACTCTGTCTGCTATAATCTGTACAGATTATTCCAAGACTTCATGAAAATAAAAGTGGTGTTTCCATGTTTTGTCTCAGCATACATCCAGAACAGCCTCCAACAGCCACTAACACTGCAGTCAGATTTACAACTTACTTGTGATTATTTCTCTTAACTCAGGCATTAACCCCACTGAGAATAACAACTTATGCTCATCACAGAACTGGGGAGAAAAAGCTGTTCTTCAGAAGACTTATAAAAATGCAAAGTCTTTTAATTCTGATGTGCTTTGGGATTAAACTTAATCAACAGCAGCAGTTAGGCAGAGAGCAAAGGGATAACAAGTAGAAAAAAACCTGCATTCCACCATCTATTCTACCTAATTTACAGACTACAATGAGCTACAGAATTGACTTTATGACAGCTATTTCCATAGAAATTGAGTCCCTATTGGTTTGAGTCTCAGTTTGGGAAGAAAACATATGATATCCAGCATAGCTCCAGCGATCAGCTGCAGTACAGCTGAGTCACATCACACTTGAAAACACTTTGTGAAGCCCAGCAAGAAGCCCAGCTGTCTCTTGAGCACAGCATGAGAAAACAGCTACAACTTGGTTCAGCTGTCCACACATAAATGTACTATGAACTGGCTACATCGCCACAAAAAATTTAGAAGCATTACTCTGGAACCACAGTGACAAACAGGTGTGACCATCCCCAAGGGGACTATTCCACCGATCAAGAGAAAAACATGAGAAAACTCAATGGAAATGCATCCAAGTAAGCCTAAATGCAGGTTTCACTGAGGGTTATAGTGCTGTCAAATCACTGTAAACAACAAACAACAAAACTACACAGAATCTCAAAGAACATTCCATTGCTTTCACATGGGACTCTTACACAGCCCAAAATAGTTTTTCAGTTTTTACATGATGAGATTTTTGCAAAACACAAGGCAAATTTCTATGCATATGATAAATATGGCATCTGCAATGAAAGACCACACCTTCTGCTTTGATTTCTGTCAGATCACAATATCCAGGTATGAATCAAGAAGGGCTAAGACAAGCCTGTCTCCAAGCAGCTTGCAATACTTCAAGAATTAGTTACTGCCAAGTCTGAACACATCTGATGGAAAAAAGACAGTTTCTAAAAATGCAATCACTTCATAACAGGTCTTTGAAGATCAACAATACTTATCAAGGTTTAAAATCTCTGACAGAGTTACAAGTCCTGCCATAGATATGCCAGCTAACCTAACAGTACTGCAAAGGTTTACTAGATCCTAACCAGAGAGGATTATTGCTGTTTTAAGTTTTGAAAGCCTTATAATCCCAAGTATTGCCTTAAACTTTTCATCCCCAAGTTCTGCAATATAAAAACTTCTCTTTTGCTGAGTGCTGTATGACCTTACCAATAAGAGACAACTCCAAACTTTGAGAGCCCAGTCTATCTAATCAGGAGAAAACACACAAAAAGTGAATCTCCTAACCCACTGAGCTGACAAATGTCAGAGACAGGGAAACAGTCTTCAAAATGGTATGTTCTGACTCATTTATTTCACTGGAAGGTGCTGTACTGTAAAATTTGCTACTACCACTTGTCTATGTGCTGCAAAATTAAAAATAAATATTTACAGATATGCAAGACCATCTCAGAATTTCAGAACAAGGATTTTGCAAATATACCTAAGTTTTTAAGTTATTTTTCAATAGTACCCTGGGAAAATGCTTTTAAATATAGCATTTAACAGTGGGAGATATCTGTTTGTTCCATGTGAAAAAAAATCCCTATTTCATTTCTCGGAGAATTTCTTAACAATAGATGTATTTTGATTAATTACTTACTATTCT